ACCCTCCCCCCTTATCAATTACTGATATTCTCCCCTCTTTATTTTCCTCTCTGAAATCCCATCCCCGAGTCCCTCTGACTTGTTCCCTCCGTCTCCTCTTTTAAGGAACGACAAACATACCGCTTTGACTGTGACTTCAGTCATCTTTCCCACCCTTCTCAGCTCCCTCCCCATCTGTGAAGTGGTTTGAGAAGTTCTCCCAGTGTGAAAAGCACTATATATTTGTAAATTGTACTATATGTGAACTCAGGCTAATACTGAAATATACTGAAATCTATTACTTATCACTGATATTCCAGCCTGACACAGTGGTAGCACTCTTGACTCTGAGTCAGGTTCAAGTCCCACATCGGGACTTAGAATCACATAGACTAAAAACTAACACACCAGTGCAGTGCCACATTGTCAGAAATGCTGTCCTTTAGATGAGACGTTAAACCGAGGTCCATCTGCCTGTTCAAGTGGATATTAAAGACCCCCATGGCATTATTCAAAAAAAGGGAGGTTTTCACGGTATCCTGACCAACAATCCACAAATAAAATTGATCATTCATTCCATGGGTGTTTGTGCGACATTGCTGTGCGACATTGCTGTGCGAATTGCCACAAAAAATTTTTTTTTTTAAAATAATAAATTGGTCACTTCAATCCACGAATGCTTGTGGGTCTCTGCTGTGTGCAATTGGCTGCCACGTTTTGCCCAAATAATATAATGTTAATTCACTTTACTGTATATCCTGTGAAGCTCTTTGAGACGTCTTGAAGACATGACAAAGCGCTATATCAAATGCAAAGATTATTATTATTATATCCTATGAAGGTCTTTGAGATATCTTAACAACGTGAAAGGCACAAAATCAAATGCAAGGATAATAAGGTAGATCTCCATATTTAGGTCAATGACACAAGAGCTGGTGTAGATGGACCCTATCATCTTATATCAATCCAAATGGAGATGTTCTAGGATGATACCAAGGATGATTTGATTATGAGCTGAGACTGGAGGGACTAGACATATTTTCAGTGAATCGGTTGAGAGGAGACCTGGTACAAGTTTTGATAAAGTAGATAGGTAAAAACATTTAATCTGGTCAGTGAATCAGTGACTATAGGGAGTCTGAAGGAGCAAAAGGGAGAATAGGAGGATTTTTTTTAAAAGGGGAGGGTTTCTAAGATATGGTAAGTTCTACCAGCTGCAGTGGTAGAGGTAGAATCCAGATTAGCTTTCAAGAGGGAAAGTTGGTTATGCAAAATTAGTAATTTACAGGGCTATGGGGAAAAAGCAAATGGGATTGAAATGATTGATGTCTCAAAGTGGCAGCACATATATTACGGGCTGTAAAGTTTATGGTTCTATGGTGAGGCATTGGGTATAAATTCTGATCAAATCTAATAAAAAGATGAAATAGGCTCAATGGGCTGAATGGCCTCCTTGTGTTCTATGGATACACATCCTACCATGGTCGTCCAGTTCATAATTCTTTTCCAGACATCGGAGTTATCTGGACTTCTTTGATTGCAAAGCTATGAGCGCAGAGTAAAGCATCAATTGTTGAACCAGTTGTTAAAGCATTCATTTGGCCTTGGAAAATCTCTCAGCACCCATCAGGGCTAGATGAGTGAGATGTTTGTCATTGCTGAAGCATCCCCAGCTGATTCCAAAAACAACTACAACAAATTGCATTTGTATAGTGCCTTTCATGTCGGGAGGATTTATGTCACTTTTGCACACAAAAAAGACCCTTCAGTGTAAATCTTAGCCACAATTTGCTGTGTATTTGTTTGTGACTGTTTCTAAAACAAGGTGTTTCCACAGAGCTAATCTGTGCTACTATTGCTTTTAAGTAGTTTTTAAATTATAGTTTAAACATCTTGCAGCTATTCAGGGGCCTTTGACTCTTCCGACAAAGCACTCATTCTAGGCAGTGAAACTGCTGACATCCACTATTAGTTGAAATTACAATCGTGTAACAATTTCCAGCTGTCTTTCTAAATGGAAGACTCATTGTCATTCTCGCCATTAGAGGGTGAAAAGGAGAAGGTGCGGTGGGAAGTAGGTGACCAGTGCAGCAGTATTAGTCATCTTTCTCCATGACTGATCACAATACATCTAAGATATTTGCAAATGCAACTTGCAATTTAGGGCCCAGTCTAATAACAGGTTCAGCTTACCTTGCTGGTCTGCAGAATTCATTGATAATTAAAAGGCAGCGTGAAAAGAAAGGGAAGACAGTGCATGTGTCTCTCAAACGAGTATTGCCAGCTGTACACTCTGTAAGCAATATATTATTTTATTTGTTATAAAACTAGTAGAGTAATATTGTACTTCTAGACCGAGTTTCAGAAAAATAAAAGATGCCAAAAAACCAGAGATCTTGTGAAGCAAGTTGAGTAATATGCTAAAGGTTACCCTATCTTATCCCTTCTAAAACATTTCTTGTAGAGTACAAAAGGTAGGAGAGCTATTGAGAGCAATCATTCTGTTGCCAAGCAAAAAGACACACAGTTGAGTGAGTAAAGGTATATAATAATCCTTCCATTTGATATAGCGCTTTTCACGTCTTCTAGACTTCTCAACGGGCTTCACAGAATATTGAATTGACCGTATATTTGTGGGCAAAACGTGGCAGCCAATTGCGCAAAGCAGTTATCTTGATTCTACACTCTAACAGCTACACTGTGAAACTGAAATGAACTGCCAACCTTAGCAAGCAATGAACTGGATCAACAGGCAGTTTGAGGTTGACCAGTTTTGCTAAAAAGTGTACAACTTCTGCCCCAAAGTCTTTCATCTCTGGGCACACCCCAGTGATATGGTTGATAGATCTGCTTCCCGCCAACAATACACATAGCTTCCAGCAATCAGAGACACAATTCTATATATTCAGTTAAGAAAGATGAGAGTTCTGCAAGATCTATGATAAATTTCCATCGGTGTACTTTTGCTTATTTGGGCGTCGTCTCAAATTTTCCAACTTCCCACACTCTCCTTCAGTGTCAAGATTTGAAACCTATTTCTTGTTTGTTTTGTGAGTCAATAGATTTACTAGTAAAGACATTGTACAGAAGAAACCAGTTTTGTCTGTTTCAATGTTCATATTGATAGTGCAGTTCACAGTATATGAATCATGACAACTTACCTGTCTTCGTACTCTATGAGAGAACCTTATATTATTTAGATCTTAGCTTGGCTCAGTAGGTAGCACTCTCAGCTCTTTAAGCACTCTGAGATGCTACCCTGGCTGAAGACTCTATAGAAATGCAAGTTGTTGCAGATCAAAAGGTTACAAACTCAAGCCTCACACTGGGACTTTAACGCATAATCCAGGACCGAAACTCTGGCTGACCAGCGCTGTGGAGCACTTAATTTTGTACTCTACTGTACTACTATTACTCTTCTTCAGATGAGACATTAAATTATGATCCTGTCTGCATGTTATTGAGGCAGATGTTGAAGATACCATGACAATTGTCCTGTCTGGCTCAGGAACCCAACTACCACCACAGAGGGTTGGCTTGATTCCAACATACTGTTGTCAAGGCATTTTACTGTGAAGCCAGCTCAGCTCCAAAGAGACTCATTTACTCCCCCCCCCCCCAACTGTGAATAAAGATATAGCATTTGATTTAGTATCTTTCGTGTCAGGAGGACATTGCAAAGTGTTTCACAGGATCTACTGTAATGTGTTGTGACTTTGTATGTTGGAGGCTTCTAATTTAACCTAACATATTTTACTTGCCTGAATATCTTTTAAGAAATTCAAGTTACTGTGTTAGTTCTCTTGAATTTCTTTATTTTACATTAAATCTTGTGTCTTGTGAAGTGTTTTAAGATGAGCAGTCTGGTCCTCTCCTGTCCCTTTACAACACTGATGAAGATTATTGTGACTGTAGAGCCACATGGTAGGAAGAGGGGATCTTACTGGAAAAATATACTGCACTGAGACAATTGGCTATATTTGCCAGATGAGCTGCACGTTAATCACGTCCTGAAAGACTACCTTGTCTTGTACTTTTAAAACTTGAATGTTACATGTGAAAGGTATTACTCCATTCAAACATGTATTTCTCAGAGATCAGATTTTACCAGAGAGGAAATCAGAAGGTAAGTCACCTCGCACTCCTCTCACGTATCCTCTAGGAATTGTATTGACAAAGGCTGAATGTCCTTGGAAGTGTGTGCAATATTGGGATCTGAGAAGTGGGACACAGACAGTTTCTATAATAATAAGGAAAACAACTAACTTATCAAACATAATTGGGATGGGTGAACTGGCGAAATAGGCAAAACTGTTTTTCAAGAAAAATACAGGTACATCACTGACATTTGACTGCAATAATTATCCTTTGAATATCTACTGACACTTTCCGACTGACTACAAATGTGTCCTGTAATAGACCCATAAGGCTAAAGTGGAAATCAGTGCTCGGAAGATATTAAGAGATGCTTTTCATTAACAGTGGTTAAGCAATTCTCCAGGGAATCACAGTAGAGACTTGATAGCATCAGAGTTCACTAAGGATTGGGGTGGGGGGGGTGGGGAGGGGGATAGAAGGAGGAGAATTTACTCTGAACAGTACAAATAAAGTGACTAACTGCAAGTAACATACATACACAATTCCCCTTGGCCTGTCACCAGAGAGTATCATTTTGACTTTCTCTACAAGGAAGTTCAAATGGGATTTCTAACTACGTAGAACAGAAAAATAAAACAATGACGACATGGAATATATCTATGAGGTAAATACCTGACACTCAAAAGTGCTCACTACTAGAGCATGTTTTGTCCTTCAGCCAATGTGTAAAAGCACTCTGATCTAGAGAGGATTTTCGAAACCACTTCTGTTTATTTAAATAGGTTGCATTAAATTGAAGATTGGAACTTTTGATCGGAACAAATTTCATTTATTTTTAATTAACTCTGTGCAGGACAGCTAGAGAGATTAGACGTAATGCTGTTGAAATGTTTTTTTAAAAAAATGACATGAACATTGAAAAATTTAAGTAAAAGGCCAGGCTTGAGTCTTTTTTTATTATCAAAATAACTAGTTTTGCAGCATAATTAAAAGTTAACAATACCAAAGTATCACAAGAACTGCACATTATCTTCCACGCATGTATTAGACAATTAGGTTCACTGATAAGCATTTGTACAACATTTGGACAAGCTTCTACTTATTGTACCTTGACCAGTGCCACAAAGGAAACACAATATTGCTTTAACTAATTTCCTCATGTAAACCACAAATGGATAGTGGTAGGAATAGCTAAGATACAACCAACCCAAATTATACAGGAATCTTTTCCTGTATCAAAAATTCAGGGAAAGTGTATTCCTGACTTTTTTGACTAATTTCATTCAGCATGTTATATAACTATTAAACCAAAAGTTAAAATTCTATGAGTGTCAATCCCTTTTCAAATATAAAGCAAACAGCTTTAAGATCTCAAGGGGTAAAATGGTATTTAAGATCTCAAGCAGGTGTTTTAGTACAGAGCGGCTTCCTCTGAATGTTGCGGCAAACATACAGTACATTAAATGAGTCCTGCAAACATCCATTTGAAATGGTGAATTGGTTGACAAGTTTACAGCCCTCCTTAAAAAGACCAGATTTTCACTGGCCAGTGGAGTAATAAATCACACAACTGGAAAATAAAAACATGATGAATTAATATGTAATTGTTAGGCACGTGGAACACTCCAAATTTAGGATTTATATTCATATTTCAGGAACTATTCGATCCCATAAATGGCTAGCTCTCCAGTGACAGCAAGTCCAGTTGTTCTTTCGCTTCTACAAAAGACAATTATAACTTACCTTTCTCTGTGAGTTATGAATCTCCCATAGGAGATGGTTAACTTACTGCTGAGCTTTCAATTTATCTTTTCTATAACTGTCCTTTAATATTTCTCTTAGGAGTTTGGCTTGCTCTTCTTCTCTGAACATCTCTTTTCTTCTCTGAACATCTGCACAAATAGTATTACAATCGTGTTGAAGTTTAACGCACCATTTTGATGTGTTGGAAGTCCAAAATGCATTTTTGAACTTCTATAATAGGTTTTCCTACAGCCAGTACTGCTACAATATCCTACATACCTCTGGTATGCACACTGTAACTAAATTAGGATTAAAGGCTAACAATCTGATTTATAGCAAAAACAAAATACAGTGGATATTTTTCATGACGAGCTTTATTTAATAATTGGTTTTGTGAAAGCGTTTCTGAGTCTTTGATGTGTAATCTCAGTCTGCTATAGTAAATCACCCCTTGCCATTTTCCCCGCTGAAACTACTCTTTAGCCACAATGTTTGGGTGCAGCCACGGGAAAGATATTTGGTTCACTTTTGGTTCCACTGTAATCATGTACAGCAATTTCCTAGTCGATCTTATCAGCACTCAGAGCCATTAACTACAAACTGAAGCTACACTGTCCCATAAAATCTCCTTAAAAGGGGGCATTTAGCAAACAACGATTCCACCTGTACTTAATCCACAAGTCATTTCAGCCATCTGCACATGTAAATATGCAAATCAGAAACACTGCATTGTTTACTGCAAGGATGCAAAAAGATGCCTAAAATGCATGATTATGATAAAACCTGATTGGTGTATACCCATAGAAATGTAAAACAGTGAAACAGCATGCTTTGAAAATGGTGTGCAATCTGATAATCACAGTTATGGAATTTTTATTCACATCTAGAAATAGAAAACAAATGCTTCAACTAACGTTTTTAAAATTCAGAATTTATGTCTGGTACATAACCATAATTTTCCATGTTTACATATTCATCAACAAGTAAAATGTTTGATTTCCTGTTTGTGCATCCTTTGATGAATATAATTTTGGGTTTGCTTTGTAATCTCAAACAACAGAACATATACACAGCATGCTGGAGTTTACAGCCTTCTAACTAGAACATATGGCTGAGGAAGATGTGTAAATTCCAAGGAAAGAGAGTAGCAAAACAAAGACAGATATTTCTATAGAATTCTTGCTAGCATCTTCACATGCTACTTGATTTCCTGCAAGACAGGATAGTCCTTTGCTAAGCATAAACCTATTTTTTCCATTCTCTCATTCTCTAATTAAGTCATGGTCACTTTTGGAAATACCCTCGTTTATTTGTTAATCAGGAGGACAAATCAAACATTGCATGTTTCCACTGCCTGTCGTCTTAGAAAATAACACATTCACTGTTTTACAAGAAACATGAGACAAAGTGGTCTTGAGAAGTCTTTCATGTCGCAAGTGAGGTTTTATGACGACAGCAGAATTGTAGCAGTGATGCAAACTAGGACCAGCCCCATATCTGATTTTAGGATCTTTCTTTCTGTTTGGCTTGCAGCAGCGAGTTTTTTTCTGGTCGGGTTGCTTCCGGCAGGTTCAATGGAAGTAGATATAACTGCTCTGGCAAGTCCAGTGAGGGGGCGGTTTGCTTTTTACTATCTGTGAGTTCCCTGCTTTCTCAGTCTCTAGACAGGTGATTGATACTAATATGCAGGAAATTGTCTGGGTAGCTCAGATGCTCGCTGAGCCACTGTAATGGTGTCTCCAGCATTGGCTCAATCCCATGAATCAGAACTTGATATGGTTTCTCCTCATCTATTGAAAGCACAAACAAAATAAAAACACATAGGGTTAAATATAAATATCCACTTAAAATACAGAAAAATGCAACACATGCCATCCAGAATGCACAAGCTAAGCTCTATTTTCCACCTAGTCTTTGACCTAAAAAGTACGCTCATGCAGGATTGAAGAAACATTTTAATTTCAGGTTTAATTTGGACCCTGTCTATTTTTCAGAACTGCAGAAAACTGACTTCCAAATTAAGACTGAATTTAAGAATTCTGTGCAATCTTAAATTTAAAGTCAAAATGGTTTACCAGGTGAAATATTAGACCTAAGATTTTCCTAATATTTGCATTACCTAGTCATCAAGACAGTAGATTTGGATACTAGGGCACTCAGACTAAGTGTGTTTTGACATTATATTCTCCAGGATTAAGCATCATTATACATTATTAATTGAAAATGTGACCTTTACTCCTAATTATACATAATATACATATAAATATAATCCTTACATTTAAAAGGCGTCACAGGATTTACTATAAGTGAACTGCAGTGACTGACTGTATTTGTAAGAACAATATAGCAAGATGTGGGAAACATCACATGCAAAACACATTACAGAAATGAAAAATATGTGCACTACTCCTTCATAGAAACTAAGTCATGCCCCATCTACACTTGCATTGAACCATGTTAAACTGCATAATGAAACATTGCACAATACTGCTGTATACTGCTTAACCTAATAGCAAGAAAATATAATTTTGCAATTAACCTGAGCTTCATAGTAATTTTAGAAATTATAATCCTTGCATTTTTTGTGGTGCTTGAAATGCTTGCAATACAATGTTATCTTAGGTCAGCAGTTATTGTGCTCCTGTGTATAGGTACCACATGTACCAACTCATAATATCAACTTTCGCACAAAAAAAAAATCAGTAAATACAAATACTATGGCAGAGGAAGATCTGTCCATGTATGGACTTTTTGGTCAGTGAGGGGCAGAAGGTGCAATTGGAATCTCAAGCTTTCCAATTCTTACTAATGGAAAAGCTGAACTCATAAGAAATGTCACAAATTGAACACAGAAAAATGTTTAGGGCAGGAGTCGAGACTTGCCCAAAATGTTTTCCCTTATATATTCTTCAAAATTACTGGTAAATTGAAAACAGAATACCAGACAATCCATATAGCTGACTTAAAAGTCTGGACAGTTTGTTTAGGTCTGACAAATCCTTAACCTTTATTCTATTCATCAGTAAACATCTATTTAATTGAATCCATCTACACAAAAACCACAGGCTGACGTCTTCAGCGCATACATCAGGGTGAAAGATTTTGCCATAGCAATTGCAGTAATAGCCAGTGGGTCAGGTCAAAAGAGGATTAACCAGTCAGGATACACCAAAGGGAGACATCAAACACTCAATTTAAAAGGGCAATTAATCTTGAAAGAAAACTTGGCCTAATGTTTCCTGGTGAATGAGATCTCAATCTTACGAGCAGTACATGATGTAGCAGTAAAATCTATATACAAAGTTCAAGAGCTTTCATCCTGTGATAACGAACAGAATGGAGTGTTGTTTATCATAAAAATGCAAACCCCCAACAGGGTACACATTAAAGAAATTTGTATCAAATTTTACAAGGATAGCTTTAGTGCAGGTCTGCATACGATGCATTAAAAATAAATACTACTTTCTCTTTTCTTCTTTCAAAAGGTCAACTAGTTAAAGGCCTATGTTATCCTAGATGCCTTTTAGATTTATACTGGATCAGCAAAAAAAATAGTTTTGGTGTCAACTCCACAGCATTGTAAGGCAAGAGGAGAACAATAACCTTTATCATCAATAATGGTACCTTGTTGCACAGTTTGTCAATACTGTTTTTATTGATTGCAAGCAAATAATGAGTACAATTTAACTTAAAAAGTCATGATTTGGTTTTTATAGTTCAAATAAAAATAGATTCGTAAAATTTAGCTTATATGGTCTGATCCACAGCACCGACAAATTACATTTGATTAGAGCCTTTGACGTCAGGAGAACATCCCAAGGTATTCCCAAGCAGCACAAAGGCAACAACTGACTTTTTTTAAAATTTGAAAGACAGTCTTAGGCAATATATTACAATGAATATATATGTTCTTACAAAATGTTTACTACAGTAAGCGCAGTTTTTAAGCACAAGAAAACTACAGGTTCTATAACTCTATAAGATGGGAGCAGTTTTATATAGTTTGTGTACATTATGAAAAATTAAGCACTTTTTTGTGTCAGATATAACAACTTGCATTTATTCAACACTCTTCACGGAAGATTACATCTCGAAGCGCTTCACATGGTGTTAGATGCAGAGCAAGAGAGGAAGGAGGGAGAAGTCACTATAGGCACTATAGGCATCTTCAAAGAGTGTTTCTAAGCCAGATCTAAATAGGAATAAAAATAATAATCCTTGCATTTGGTATAGGGCCTTTCAGAACACAACAACAAGATTACATTTGGATCGAAACCAAGCTAGCGTGTACTGTGGAATCAAAGGAGGCAGCCAAGATATTACAGCAGTCTTGAGATGATCTACACCTACAACAACAACAAAATTACACTTGCAAAGCGCCTTTCACGTCGGGAGGTCGTCCCAGAGAGCTGGAGGGCGGCTGAAGGCACAATTGAAAAAGAGGGTCTTGAATCGAGCTTGAGGGAGGGAGCAAGACAAAAGGATTGTGGGATGGAATTCCAAATGGTGGGGGCAGAGAAGCGGAAAGCCCAGCCGCTGATGGTAGGGCGGGTCAGGCGGGAGACATGGAGCAGGTTGGAGCCTGCTGAACGGAGGGAACGGACAGATTGATAGAGGGTTAGCAGGTCAGAGAGGTAGGAGGAGGCAACGACATGGGGGGCCTTGAAAGTGAGGATGAGGCCCAATGGCCAAATAGTTTACTGAAACTCACCATCACACATAAATAATTGTCATGTGAGCAAAGTCCGAGATGCCAGCTGATGCTCAAGGCCAAGAAATAGTAAGTTTAGAGGAAGTGTTAAAAAAAACTTGAGTGGTGGGAACACTTTAAAAATATTTACGAAAAAAGAATCAACAAATACTATATTTGTCAACTTCATTTTTTGTATCAAAAGTTCTTTAGCGTCCCCCTGAGCAACATCTCATCTGATAAACAGATATTACACTTCAATGTATACTGGGGGGAATGCTCAATTGTCAGAGGTGCCATCCTTCAGACGAGATGTTGCACCAAGGTCCCGTCTGTCTGTTCAATTGGACGATAAAGATCCCATAGCATTATTCAAAAATAAAGGGAGTTTCTCCTGGTATCCTGGTCAACAATCTCTCAAATAAAATTGGTAATTCACTTCATGGCTGTTTACGGGCCACTGCTGTAAATTGGCTGCTGTGTTAGTCTACAAATACATAATCCCAATGATTTACAGCAAAAACTTTGAAGTGCTTTGAGATGTTTTGACACAATAAGATGCTATACCAAATGCAAGAATTATTCATTTGTAATAGGATGGGTGTGGAGTTAGAAGCGAATTTCCAAATTTTTCTCCTTATAAAACAGTTTAAAAATCATTGCATGTTTTAAAAAAATGTAATTGCATTTATATATCACCTTTCATGTTGGGAGGACATCCCAAGGCACTGGACAGTCAAGGGTTTGCACCTGAGTTGGAGGTTGCAGTCAACAACAACAACAACAACAAGATTGCATTTATAGAGCGCCTTTCACGTCGGGAGGACGTCTGAGACCTTCCAGTGTGATGGGGGCCAAGAAGGGTTGGAAGTGGAGGTGGGGTGACCAAAGGCGCGGTCAAAGAGGAAGGTCTTGAGATGAACCTTGAAGGAGGCAAGGAAGGGACGAGGCAGAGGGAACGGGCAGGATGGTAATGTTTTAGTGAGTCACAAAGGTAGGGAGGCGCAAGACTGTGAAGGGCTTTAAAAGTGAAGACGAGGAACTTAAACTCAACTCTCTGGGGGTGTGGAGCCCGTGAAACAGTGAAGCAAATAGGAGATTGATCCAAGTTAACACAGATGCACCACCTTGCAGTTAGACAGACCTTGTGCTGAATCTCAGGAGCATGCGAGAAAAATACGAATCAGACAAAAAAAACTTCATGAAAGTAAGGGTGGCAAGAATTGTTACTTGGTAAGGAAGTGTAAGTGCTGTTATCTTGCAGAACTGTATCCAAATAAAAGAAAAAAAGGAGTCAACTACCATAAAGGGAGATGGACAGAGAAAATTTAGTGTGAAAAAAACAATGGATGAACTACAGGAAAACACAATCGTCTACACCCAATTTCTCACCAGCTGAATTGTAAGCAACGTGTAAAAAATGTTTGTCTCCTGGGTTATTAAATCACCATTCACATCAATGTATGTGCTACTCATTTCCTGCATACTGCACACGGGTACTATGCACAGGAAGCATTGTTGATATCAAGTGAGTTCACTATTTTGTTTTAGCACAGAAAGCCAACTAGATAGCATCGAAAGCTGGTGTATTGTGCTTCCAGCTAGGACAGGTCAACAATAGGTCCCAAATGTAAGTGAGGTAGAGATATAGTTAAGGGCGCTATAACAGGGGTCTCCTGTAGACTATACAACTGAGCACTTTTCTGGCTACGTGATCTGTCAATGGTAATTCATTAGCAGAAACTTCCTCAGACAAGAAACAACCTGAAAAGATTGTATGCTGACATTCTATGTATATTTTAATCCATTTTCATTGTACTAGTATGTCTCATTGTGTTACAAAAGTTTCAGAAGTAATTCAGAAAGAAACATCAGCAAAGAAATATACAAAATTGAAGATTTATAAAACAATTGGCTCTAATTAGATTGCATATGCAAGCACACAAGGATCTGACAGAGAAATTAACAGTGTTCTGACCAAATGCGTCTCCAGTTCCTTCAAAGCAGGAATAATACTATGAGAACGGAAAATAGTTAATGTAACCCCAAAGTTCAAGAAAAGAACAGAGGTATGTATCTATGCATTACAGGCTATGTAGA